CCTGTGATGAAGAATTCACACAGCAAAAAGGCAGTGCACTTGCACTTACAGGCAGAGCAAACAGAAAAGACCTCAGCTCATGAACCTGGACCATTCAATTCCACAGTCCTTGTTCTACTGTTGCTGACAGATACTGCCCTAATGAGCCTCTCCTAGGCATTTCTGAGACTCTTCAAAATGAAGACATACCAAATCAAAATTACTATTTCCAATAAAGTTTAAACATTTACATTTTGCAAATTAATTTTTGAATGAAAACAAACACATAATAATCATAGCCTGCCATGGCAATAACATCCTTGATAATTTTCTATCAAGGACATCCAACAATTTCTCACCCACTCTGTCACTGAGGTTCTCAAGGAGACCATTGACCAGAAAATCTCCACTGGCACCTTAATCCCTTCATGATCTCCTTATGAGCTCAGCCCAAGCACTCCAGCTCCACAGAGCCACTCTTCCAGTATCTGGGGCTCAGCCCCTATCTGGGAAAGAGGAAGGCCAGAATATTAGAACAGGTGCTCTCTTGGTTAGAAAGAGATAAAAACAATTGGTTTTCTCCCCCAGCAGACTTAAATAATCATATGCAAAGTCCAGCAACATGGACTAAGTATCTCTCCACTGTGGGTTGGATTTGAAATGCTATTATGGAATTATTGTTCATTTCAATAGATATCACAGTGACTTTTGTGGCTGTGAAGGGAAATGCCCTTCTTCATAAAAGATGCATGCTGAATTTCTTAGGTTTTGATCAGGAAGCTGCAAACCAAGGCTTCCAGGAGTGCAATGGCTCGATCTCCACTCGCTGCAACCTCCAACTCTTGGGTTCAAATCATTCTCCTGCCTCAGCCTCCTGAGTAGCTGGGATTACAGGCATGTACCACCACACCCAGCTAATTTTTGTATTTTTTAAGTAGAGATGGTATTTCCCCATTTTGGCCAGGCTGGTGTCAAACTCCTGACCTCAGGTGATCCACCTGCCTTGGCCTCCCAAATGGCTGAGATTACAGGCATGAGCCACCACCCC